TTCCTCCGTCTGTATTCTAAGGTAAACTGACAGTGCTGAGGGAGCTGTACGTCAGCTACAACCGACTGTCCCGAGTTCCTCCAGAGCTTGGGAACTGTGAGAAACTGGAGAGACTCGAGCTCGCGGGAAACCACAACCTGTCCGAGCTGCCGTTTGAGGTGAGAGGGTCAAGCTGTACATCCATCATCAGTCCCTGGCAGCAGCTCAGTGTCACAAAAACTTTAAGATGATGAACTATGTTGTTTGCCTGTTTATGTGCTTTTAAGGCTCCACTATTTGGTAGAAGTTAAACAGTTAGTAAGATTTTGTACTTCAAGAAAAGTTATTTTCTTTTTCAGTAGTTGAAACTAAAGGAAGAGATGAGCAGCGTTGTGGCGTCTCTGCTGGTTTCCTTTGTCCAGATTAATCAAAGGAGAGAAAGATGAATGTCAGAGTTTGTAGGTGTTGGCCGGTTTCTGTTTGGGCAGCACCTGAGGGACAAACTCACTGTTGGTTCCTCGGGTGGGAAATTAGGGGAACTGCAGCGTTGATTATTGTTCTATTCTTGAGGCCCGGAGGTTGACACTCTGCAGAACTGAGCATGGGATTAAAGTGAACACCTGAAGCGCCATCAGGGGTCAAATTTACTATTGCCCCCCAAAAATGCTGAACTGTCCTTCAGGACCATCAGGATGGTGTTCAGAGGTCAAGTTCAGTTCAATTCAGCTTTATTTATACAGCGCCAAATCACAACAACAGTCACCTCAAGGTGCTTTATATTGTAAGGTAGACCTCAGGTCAAGTTAGCAGGAGGCTCATAGAACTCCATCCAATCAGTTCTTTTTAAACCAGAGACGTCGCTCCCTGCTGGACATTGTGCTGATGATGTCACTGTGCATCGTCTCTCTGTAGCTGAGCAGCCTGAAGCAGCTGGTCCACCTGGACATCGCGGAGAACAGGTTTGTCTCGATCCCCATCTGCGCTTTGAGGATGACGAGCCTGCAGCTGCTGGACCTCAGCAACAACTGCATGACCGACCTGCCGCAGGACATGGACAGGTGACTGATGATGTCGTCACTATTTCCAGGTGGATCACCAGGCAGATCACCTGGGCTTCAGCTGTGACAGCAGCTCTTCTTGAGTGTTTCGGGGGAGGGTGTCAGCGTCCTGAGGTCTGAATGCTTATGTTTGTCTCTGCAGGCTGGAGCAGCTCGTCACCCTGTTCATCCACAAGAACAACTTCAATTACCTCCCTCACTGTCTCGCCAACATCACCACGCTGGCGACGATCGTTGTCAGCGGTGACGAACTCACCTGCATCCCAACTAAACTCTGCAACAACCCCGAAATCAAGTACACAGACCACACCTACACAGACTTCCACCCAGCACGCATCCAGGTGGCAAATGTCACACAGCAGCTTTAACCAGCTTATAGCTGCTGCAGCCTCTGCAGACCACTTTGCAACCCACCTCCACACCAGCTCCTCAGTTTGATTGATTGATTGATTGAATCTTTATTTTGAACATGTTGAAAAAGTACAACAAAATAGAATTAAAAGAGACAAATGAACAAAGCAAAACAAAAGGAAAACGAGCAACCACAACTCCAAATAACGTTCATGTTCAAAAAGGAGCAGGAAGAAGCATAAGCTTATTTAATCCCACCCCTTTTCCACTATCTATCTAGCAATTACATTATGTCATGTGTATTTTTTTTATATATATATACATATGTTTCTATCTATCCATACATACGTTTATATACACATACGCACATATACACATTTTCAATAACCCCATTAACACCTCAAGGATACACAACCTATATATATATATATATATTATATATTATATATATATATATATATATATATATATATACCCACACCAACATACCCGTGCACCCGCACACACATGAAAATATTAGACAAGAACACCCTATCAAATCTCTACCTTTTCCCTGTAAAAACCATATCCTTAAATTGGACTTTGCTTCATATCCTTACTTAGTCTGTTCCACAGCTTCACTCCACACACAGAGATGCAAAAACTTTTAATGTTGTACGGATACGAGGATGTTTTAAATTTAATTCCCCCCTCAAATTGTGTCCCCGTTCCCTTTTAGAAAACATTTTTAGAATATTGTCAGGAAGCAGGTTATTTATTGCTTTATATATAATTTGTGCTGTGAGAAAATGAACCAGATCTGTGAATTTTAGAATTTTTGATTTTAAGAATAGTGGATTTGTATGATCTCTGTAGTTTCATGCTACATCTGATTTGTGTTATTAAATGGTTTGTTTATAAAGCCAAGAAATCTTTTTTCTTGGTCAGAAAACAACTGGCGCAGTGATAAATAGGGTAAAATTCCAAATTTCTTGAAGGCTGCACAGATGTTCCCATTACATAAAGGTGGTAACCTTAATCCCTAATGATTACCGAACCATCTTGAACTTGTCCTGCTTAACAAAAACCTTGAGTGTCAATGGTGGATTAAAACTACATCTGGAGTCAGATAAGGTTACTATCAGAACAGCTGCTTCAGTAGACTACAGCATTCATGTGGAAAAGCTGCGCTCAGAGAGAACCTCAGAAATGTTTCAGGACTCCTTAAAGTCAGTGCAGGTGTTCCACAGGGAACCATTCTCAGACCTTTTGTATTTACAGCAGTAAGTCTGCTGTAAGAGGTAAATTTGATTTCCACTGGCCTTCATCATTAATTTGGTGACTCATAAGACCCACAGAGGGCCACAAAAGGTCACGGTCAGCGGTGTTTCACGAAGAGGAGCAGCCTGAAGTGAGTCAGCTCAGAGGGGTCAGAACTTTTTTTAATGTTTGTCTCTGCTCTTCTTCAGGTTCATTCGCCTCTACGACAACCCTGCGAGCAAAGAGAAGAAGAAGAAAGAGGAGAAGAAGAAAGAGGGTGTGAGAAGGAGGTGGAGGGAGCAGAGGGAGGCAGAGGAGGTGAAGGATAGTGGAGAGAAAGAGTTCATTGAAGCGTACATCAGCTCACTGCAGGACAGAGGTGAGTTTCAGCGCCAGATTCTCACCTTTTTACTTTACAATTACACAAAAGTCTAAAATATGAGAGCTTTGCTGAAGTAAAGTGTGAACTTAATGATGACGAGATCATCAGAAATATTCTCATTTTAAACTGTGTGGAGACGTTTTTGAATTTTCTGTTTGGATTTAAAGTGTATAAAAAAATAAAGTTAACTAAATGAATACATCAGAAAACTTTTACTGATTAGTGATCTCTTCTTTGAATCATCTTTATTATAATCACCTTTATTAGTTGTTTTCAGGTTTTTTTTCATTAATAACAGGAACACTCTTCACTGTAATATTTACTAAGTGTTTTTCGTCCTGTCGGTAATCAAACTTCACACTCATAACAACCCGTCCTCATGTGTTTTGGGGGGGTTTGTCCCATGCCAGACACCGTCCCCTACGCCACCACCAAAGTCTCCATTTCCTGCCTGCTTTGAGGAAGAGGAGGAGGAAGCCAGTGAAGGTTGAGAGGATGATGACTGAAGGATGACAGCACTGAGGAATTTCAAAAGAGGATGCTAACAGAGGTTAACATGGGAGGTGACGTGAAAATGTGTTTTTAATCTTTCATACTAGCTCGAAATTATAAGTTAACATATTAAAGTTTAGTCCTTTATTAATATTCTTTTTAAACTAATTATTGTTAAATCGTTGAATCTGGGAAAAATAAAATCAGCAGGACGTTCACGTAAACACTGAATGCATTAATCTCAGGTCATTGTAATTTATTTCAAACTGCATTATTAAAATTAATAATTAAGTATTGCATGTAAGATGTTATTCAGAGTATATTTATTGGGTATGATACAACAAACCGAATACATAAAGAGACATGCTCACATAAAAGTTACAGGAAAAAAAATCAAAAAAAAAAAAAGCTTATTTCTGATGCTGGTTGCTTTTTTGTCAGACTTCAAACATTAAAACATCAAATGGAAAAAAAAAATCATATTTAACAAAAATCGAGACGCTACAGTCGAAATGTGTTTTTGGATGCGCGTCAACTTTCATATATTTACATTAAATATTGATGAAGATAAAATCAATTCCAATTCCTGTTAATCGATCACTGAACTGTTTTATTTATGAATCTTTTTTCTTTTAGTTTTGAAGATGTCGATTGTCTAAATCTCTTCATTTCAAAATCGAATTCAGTTGAAATCAATAAAAACAGACTGAAGCTGATTTCTTTGTGATCCTGAGCAGATTTGATTTTTATTCACTTTTACATTTCTCACATTTATCAGCTGATGTTTTCTGTGTAAATGTAGTTTTTTGTTCAAAGTGTGAAAGTTGTGACCAAATAGAGATTTTCTGTTTATCAGGTTTGATTTCTATGATTTCTTTTAGTGTATTTTTCTGTGGTTGTCATAGTTACGAACTTAGCAGCTTTGATTTGTGCATTAAAATATAGAAAAGTTTTTGCTGTTTAAAATTTTTTTTTTTTAAAGTTTCTGTAAAATGGAGAAAAACGTTTTTGTATTTGTGAATTTTACTGAAGCTGCTTCGATTCAGACGTTTGTGACTTTATTTTTATTTAATGTTTGTAAACACACATTTTTCAATAATGGGCGCATTTTTGACAAACTTTCTAATTTAAATAAACTGAAGTTTAATTTGGTCGATCTTTAATCAGAACACTTCATGTTGTCTGTTGACCAAAGTAACGTACGAATGCTTCAGAGAGCTGAGCATGAACGAGCTGAAGCACTGATGATGTCACACAGAGCCATCATGCAGGTTACTGCTGCTGAGGGAGGACCGACAAACCGCTGCATCGTTAGGTGGACTTTGTATATTTATAAAGGAAATGTTGGTTTTTTGTTTTTTTTTATTCTTGAATTTAGAGTAAAGAAGAAAAAATAACAAGGAAATAAAATGCAAAACAAATACTTTTCTTTGTTTTAATCAATAAAAAATTAATTTAAATAAAAAAAGTCAAATTAAACTGAATAAAAAATAAACACATTTCAAATGTCACACGTTTCTCTTTATTGTTATTAATATTCACGTTATCATAGATATTATTCAAAATTATGTTCTTAAGATAAAAGAGCAAAAGCAAAATACGTGACACGTCTCTCGGTTTAAATATAAAAGTGATATGAACACGAGTGATTCAGGCACACGTTCAGAGAAATTAAAGTGCAGCAATCAGCAAAAGGTCTGCACGGAGGAGGAAGAGGAGGAACATCTGGGAATGTCTGTCAGTCTCTGCGGCGGCCATGTTGGCGCGTCAGCCTTCACGCCTCACCGTAAAAAAAGAAAAAAAAAAGCCTCTGAGGAGGATTTACAGCCTCCATCGTCTGTGTGACCAAACACAAGCTGACATTTAAAAACGTCACGTTTCACTTCATGAACAGTTTCGGAGAATCATCAACGGGGAAATTCATTAAAAACTTTATGACACGATGACGACGTGATGGAGCGACTCGCTCTTAATCATGGAGTCAACAATCAGCCGCCCTAATCTCCAGAATATTCATCTCATCGTCAGATTTAACAGAAAAGCAGGAAGAATGATTGAGTCATCCGGCCGGATCACTAAATCTAGGTTCTGAATTCCAACATGAAGGACACAAATTTGTGAACTTAAGACAAAAAAAATTCCAATGATCCAGTTTTAAATTGGACTGAGTCTAAAGAATATTCCAGACAGAAAGGCATTCAGTACTCGGAGAAACTACTGTGGGATCCAAGACTCTCCACGAGGCATTTGAGGACACTCGGTGAGCATAGGAAAATAAACCATCTGACATCATCGGCAAGTGGGCGTTAAGGGTTAAAAGGTTAAAGGTTATTAAGCCGAGAGCTTCTCTAACAGTCGATTGTGCTTCTGAGCTACATCATCATCAACGTCACAACAGGATGATCAGGCGTTCCTGTAGCCATGACAACGTTCATGCTGCATTCAGGGGAAAAAAGGAAAAATAAGGAAGAACTACCACTCAAAGGTGACGTCATCTGTCAGAGAACCTTTGGTCACTTTAAACTGTCAAAAACTATCATCTCCCACACAGAAACAGAGCCTGAATGCAGCACGAGTTATATTCCACTTACAGTAGCCGAGCTGTGCAGGTAAACGCACCTGACCTGTGCTCTGGTTCACAAGATCATTGATTCATCGATCTGTCTTTAAGCAACAGCTGGAGCCCCACATGTGCTCTTAAACTGGTTTCACTGGTTCACTGGTTCAAACTGGACATGAAGAGACCTCCAGGACCGCCGGAGCTCTGTGCACAAAAATACATACGTGACATGAACCCATCATGAAGGCTGAAGCTTTAAGGGGCAAACGTGAGAACCTGCACAGAGCGCACATGCGATGGTTTTTAACCTGAACTGGGAGAAAACTCGACTTAAACGACTGATCAGGTTTTTTAAACCGATCTGTTGACCTTCTGAGAAATACAGCCTGTAACAAAAAGGCAAAATAAGCACAAAAGAGTAATAAAACACGGCACCGGTTGGTTTGTGAGCAGCCGCCTCGGGACCGCCAAGGTTCAAACTGCATCAGTAACTTGGAGCGTTTGATTTGTCCGACCTGGAAGGGGCAGGCGGACGGGGAGAGCACTTTCAGGTCAAACAGAAACAAACTTCAAGTATTAAAACAGAAGAAGAAGACGAGGAGGAGGAGGTGGTGACCCGCAGAGGCTCAGATTGTGGGAGGAGCAATGGCAAAAACTAGGTGGTGCTCTCTGTCCTTAAAGCCATCACTTGTCACTGCGGCTCAGAGAAAACTCGGTTTTCAGTGAAATCGTTGATATTAATTTGATCCACGCTGTAAAAACTCCAACCCTGCAGACTTCGTCCAGCCTTAGGCTATAAAACAGCAGTACAGCGCCCTCTACAGGATGGGAGGAGGCAAAACATGAGACCGTCTATAGGGCGGAGGTTTGAAATCAGGGCTGAGAAAAATGAAATAAATAAATAAATACATGAAATGCATTTAAATGTTGATTTGAAGTCAAACCGAGTCCCGTTTACTGGATCAACGCAGGAAAATCTACACTGAAACAAAAGGACCACACCTGCAGCTCAAAGCAAAAACGCCACATTAGTAAATTAAAACTATTAAACTGGGAGACCAAATAATGAAATAATGAGGCGGAGCTAAATGACGCCTCCAGCTTCACGCCGTTTATTTACTCGGATTTCTCCCAAATATGCAAACTCCTGACGGGAGAGGGCAATGACATCATAGCCAGTCAGTTTGCACATGCTCTGTGTGACGGGAAGTCTGAGCGCAAATAGATCCAGACAGAAAACAAACACCTGGATCTCATCATGATTTGGTATTGTATCCCACAATCCCGAGCAGCTCCAACCTCCTCGTCCTCGCCAAGATTCGCCCTCCGATCCAAAAAACACCCCCCCCCATAAAAAAAAAAAAAAAAAACAACAACGTAGTTTTGAGTGTCAGCTTTCACTGCCCGTACAATGAGGAGCATTTGATGGCCTCGCCTCTGCGAACCTGACGGGTGGAGTCAGGTACAGACCTGACTGACAGGTATGGGAGGCTGCTGTCAGTTGCTTTGGCTTCTCTGGTCCCGTCCTCGCTGCGATTGGCTCGTAAAGTAAAACGTTGCGATCCTGCACGACTACACGACCACTTTACTTCTGCTGATCTGTTTTAACGGAGAGATCTCGACTCTTACTGAGGCAAGACTTCAAAGCCCTTTGGTTCTACCTGCCCAAACACACCTGGGCAAAGAATGGGAGGAGTCACAGGTGAGTGATATCAGTGAGATAAAAAGCGGTTTGCCGGGGAGGCCGCCGCCTAACGTTCCCCGACGGTCTGGATCGGGGGAAGAGAGGGTTTGTTTTTTTTTTAACAGGGGGAGGGACTTGCATACAAGACTCTGTTTTGTAATTGGCCAGACTGCCTACGAGTCACATGACACTGTCCTGCAGCAGCGGCTCGAGGTCCTCTGTGTCGCTGATGGGCACGGCAAGAGGGCTGCCGTTCTGAGCGTGTGCGGCGGAGCTGCTGCCGGCCTTGTTGGCGGTGCAGGTCTTGACTTCGGCCAGCTGGTGGCGCTCAGGGATGAAGAAGGCGACAACTAAAGCAAATATGACGCTGCACGCGCCGAAGAGGAAGGGCGGGCCCGGGACGACCAGCTTCTACAGACGGAGAGAGAACCGACTCGTTACGGGAAACAGAACAGCGAGGAAAGAATCAGCAAGGCGCATTTCTACGCACCTGTGTGCTTGCTGTGGATCTTCCTGCCATCGGCTCCCCTTCGTTCAGCTCCACATTGAACAGGAAGAAGATGAAGCCGTAGAGAGCCGGGCCCAAACCATTGCACAGGCCTCTGATACCTGTGATCATCCCCTGTGCCACACCTGAACACACAGACGCCTCAGTCACATCTGCACCACCTTCATCCATGTGACACAGTCAGATGTTGATACAAACCACGGCCACACAGACCCTGTTTAAGACACGCCCCTTCGGACGGTCAGGTTCGACTCACCTTGCTGGTCAGGTGAGGCGCTGTGTGACACCAGAGCAGAGATTGCCGGGAAGGTGATCGAAGACATGGCCGCTACAGTTCCTGCTGCCCACATCATCCTGTAAGGACGCGAGCAGATAAACGTTTAGGTCAGATCATTCACAGGAAACAGGAAACGACACGGGCGAGACGCTGGGACTCACCACGGCTCGGAGCCGAAGCCATACCAGACCAGCTGGAACAGCTGAAAGGCCAGGCCGAGAAGAACCGTGTTCTTCTTACCGATGGTCCTCATCAGAACCCCGAAGAAGACCGTCTGACAGACACGAGACGTACAGTGAAGAAATCAGGACGCAACACATTTACAGGGTTTAGAAAGACAAACTGTCGTCTGTGTGACGGGTTACCGCAGCTTTTCATGTCAAACTAAATGAACAAACCTGAAACAAACACTGTGACGTCAGCATGCATTTAGAGTAAAAAAAAAAACAAATCACACTTTGAGGGCTTTCAGCTGAAGACGCTCCACGGCACCGTCTCCCACTCGGAACAACGCGGGCGTTAGCTGTTTTTAATACAATGCTCCCGGACTAACAGGGACCGCTGGATATTGGACTTCCTGTTACCACCCCCTGTTGGATCAGACTCTCTCTCTGACCGTGTAGAGTTACAGTCAGTCCCCATCTTTCCTCAGCCCCCGACTCTACACTCTGGGCACACATGAGTGTGTCAGTACCCACCCAGATGATGCCACCATGGTGGGCTCATCTCTGGAGGCGACCTACAGAGCTGAGGCATTAATGCACAGTGAACACTCATTCTTTAATTTATTCTTCACATCTTTTCTCCACTTTACAAGTTTACTGCATTGTGTTGAGTTGCGCTCGCTGCCGACGTGGGACAGTTTCACTGTACTTCTGTGCTAAAGATGACGGTGCAATGACAGTAAGGAGTCATCTTATCTCAAACAGACGCGCGTGCAGCCACAGCAGGTTAACAGTTTCAGGATTGTTTCTCTCTAACATCGTCGGGTCTTTGGCTGTCGGCTGAACACGTTCACATAAAGTTAGCAGACGGTGCGACTCTGTGAGGACGAGCGTACCTGAGCGACTATAGAGAGGATTCCCACCATGGCGATGAAGCCGGTGATGGCTGCCGGAGAAAACTCGATCACCTGAAAGATGAAAACCTCGTCAGTGTTTCCGCCTTCGGGTTTTCATTGATTCATATTCGTTTTCTAATAATCTGCGTATGGCAAAGAAAAAAAACATCACTTTTATCTTTGTTTCATTCTTGGGGGGGGGTAATTTAAAATTTAAATACACAATTAAAATAATTAAATATAATGTCTGACCAGCCCTCCTGCAGTACCTTTAGGGCCCACCAGGGGGTGGCAAGCCACACTTTGGGACTCACTGAGCTGCACTGAATAAAGGTGGAGATGCTTCATCATTTAAATCCCATAACTCTCCTGATCCTGATGATTGAGGGAACAAATAAGTGTTCCTGCGCTTGAACGTGTAGCTTTGACCTCCTGAGTCTATCCAGCACATGCTGGTCACAGCTGTCTGTGCGTTACCTGTCGCAGGTAGAGGAAGAAGCTGGAGTACTGCCCGGCTTCAGGCAGGTAGGACAGGAACACGGTGACGCAGATCAGCAGCACCGTGGTGTCTTTCCCCACCCGACGCAGAGACTGAACACACCAAAAACACAAATATCGATCAATCGATCTATCAGTCAGCGCAGAGCACGTCAAAGCTGTAACAGCGATGAAAAGACTCACGGCGAAGGGGTCGGCCTGCTCCCAGGAGATGGGGAACCCCCAGGACGTCAGCCTCATCTTGTCCGGCAGCGACTCGGGGACGACGAAGAACACGAACGCAATATCTGCCACAGCAATCACCGTGGCAACAAGGACCACCAGGCTGTCTCCGTACTGCCCAGACAGGTAGACCCCGATGGCCGGACTCGTCACCAGGCTGGCCGCGAAGGTCGCAGAGACCTGGCGAGGGAGGGGAGGTTAAATCAGCACATAACCCACCTTTGACCTCAGGCGCAGGGCTTCAAACTTGAAACGTCAGAATTTTAAAACAAACCTGAAAATGTTTCAGTTTCTGAAAATAAAATTTGGAATTAAGAACTTGTTTTCAAATTTTTACTGAATTTTGATTTTTACATCTGTGACTATAACTGATATAATCTGTGAGTCATCGTGACTTTTAACATTTAATAAAAATATTTCTACGATTCAACCATCCTAAAATATTTGTAAGTGAAATGTATGACATGGATGTTTTGTTTAGTTAGTGTGTGTGCGCTTGCGTGAGTGTGTGTGTGTGTGTACCAGTCCGTAGGCAGTACTCCTCTCGTGTTCCTCTGTGATGTCGGCGACGTAGGCAAAGATTACCGAAAAGGTCACCGCGAAAATCCCGGAGACTGAGATGAGAGCGAAATACCACCTACACACACACACACACACACACACACACACACACACACACACACACACACACACACACACACACACACACACACACACACACACACACACACACACACACACACACACACACACACACACCTCCATTTTATTTCAAAATAAGAGACCCCTCAGGTGGGGAAACAGCGTTCTGTGAGACTTATAGAGTGTCTCAGGAATTACATCAAATTCAAAATAATCGAATCATGCTTTTTAACTTCTCTCACTGTTAAACACACACACACACACACACACACAGGAAACCTCACTTCCTGTGATGTGAGGATTAAAGAGTTAACGTTTTCGCTCTGCTTTCAGGGAAGCGTTGTCGTCTTGTGACTCTGATGTTACGGTCGTTAAACCAAAAACACTCTAATCTAGTCTTTTATTGGAGAGTCTGTGAAATGTATGAACCATGTGACTCTGTGACAGTCAGACATCAGCTGATCGCTGCTGCAGTCCAGCAGAAATCCAACATAGGTGCGTTTTTTTTACTTTGAAGTGACTGTAACTCCTGTGTTTGGGTGAAAAGCAGGAAAAAGAGGAGGAGGAGGCCAGTGTGCCTTCAGCGTGTTTGCTGATCCTGAGCCGCTCACATGATCAACATGTGACAGCTGTGGCGATTAGAGTCCAGAGTTTTCCTGTCACGCACGGCTGAGCAGCAGCCTGTTACTGCTAGCTTAATGGAGCCGTCGTTCCTTCTCCTCAGCTAACACTGATTACTCAGCCTGTTTTCACGCCACTGTGATTTTTACATGTGGTCCAACACGCCTGTAAGCAGCCCAGAGTCCAGTTTACTCTACATGTGATTTTTATTATCGAGGACATTAAAAAGGAGTCAAAACATAAGACGACATCTTTATTCTTGGAGCCAGTCTGCAGCAGGACTACAAGCAGCTGTTTTAGCTCCACCTCCTTCATACAACTTTCTTCTGATTGGTTACGGCTGTAAGCCTGCTGAGGGGCATATCAGCGTATAAGGAGTCTGCGATTATATTTCTACTCTCCACATGATGTTGGCATGCAGCTACAGTGGGTGCAGCTACAGTCGAGTTGGCGGTTAGCAGGGTTCCAGTTTCAAGCTAACTATAAACAAAACAAACCACAGATGCTCTGATTTCAAACTGAGCTGAGCTCAGCGAGCTGTGAAACACGGCGTTTCTCAGCTGTAAACAGAACGATCAAGGGACGAGCTCTCTGCTGATCGTGACGTCGACCGTTCCTCAGTTAGATTACTTAGCCTTTGAATATTTTTGTATCCTTCTCTTCTGATTAGTCGCGTTTCTTTCATGTTTTATGAAGAGTGTCGTATGTGCTATGTGCCATTTTCTGTGTTGTGCTCGTGTTTGAAGCTGTAACCAAAAATTTAAATGCACGTAATTCTTTACTTCTTCACTCATGTTTTTATCTCCGAGAGGAAGATTACTGAGAAAGAGCGTTAGTCTCACCAGGGGCTGATCTTCATGAAGGGGATGGGGGCGCAGGTGAAGAACACTGTCATGAGGAGGAAGGACTTCCTGCCCCAGATGTCTGACAGAGCACCAATCAGAGGAGCCGACAGAAATGACAGGAAACCCTAAACGGACAGAGAAATACAAACTCAGAGACGCCATGATATCGTAATATTCAACAAGCGTTAAGTTGAGGAGAAGTGGCTGAAAGCTGCGCTGACAGTAAACAGCCGAGCGGTTTACCTTGACCCCCTGCACCAGGCCGTTCATCAGGAAGGTGTGCTGAGGAAACACATCGCGCAGGACCTGAAACCACAAACACACTACTTTCACTTCCTCAGCACGTAGACGCCATGATGGTTCGCCCTTTATTACATCAGCCTGTAGATCATTTTTGGTCATGTGATGCTTTCAGCGAGGACACATTCAAGGTTTTAATAATCCCACTTTGGGGTTTATAGTTGCAGGAAAAGGTTGAAAACTTCATGAAAACTTTAACACTTTACACATTTTAGCAAAAGGTGTGCGTGTACTTACGGTCAGCATGGGCGTGGTGAGCAGGCCCCACGCAAAGAACTCCAAGAAGATCACCACCACGGCATGAGTCACTCTGGCTCGGCTTCGGCCGTGCTGTGGCGAGCAGAGAGGCAGACGCATTAACCTCACTTCCTGTGATGCGTCCCGCTAACATGATGACATTAGAGCAGCTGCTTTCACTTTAAGACCCATCAGAGTTCAGAAAAGTGCTTTAAAAGCCAGTGGAAGCATCACCCACAGACACGTTTGTCCTCCAGCATTCAGCTGCATCGCTTCTTCATTTTTAATAAACTCAGCGTCGTTATGGGCTAATAAGACTGTGCTGTATGCGAGACACCGAGAACGTCTTAAAGAGGAGCAGAGGAAGGAGGAGGTACCGACTCCAGTGATTCCTCATCAGCTGGAACTTAACCCACATAATCTGTCCTCCAGCTGAAGCTCGCAGCACGGTGCAGAGTAAGAAAAGGCTGTTTTCACAGATCTGTTAAAACTTGTGAAAAAGAAACTGTTTGGAGGAGCGCGGCTGTAACTACCGGGGCTGAGACAGGGAAGGTGCGTTCAGGTAAGTGGTTTTATAAATCTCTGTAACAGTAAGCTGGATTTAAACAGGGCAGAGGATAGCTCAGTAGGTAGAGTGGTGGCCCCATGATCGGAAGGTCAGGGGTTCGATTCCCCTGAACAGCTACCCTGAGGTACCCCTGAGCAAGGTACGATCCCTACACACTGCTCCCCGGGCGCCCAATGGCTGCCCACTGCTTCACTGAGGGAATGGGTTAAATGCAGAGAGGGATTTTCCCCACGGGGACCAATAAAGTACACTTTCTTTCTTAAACAGGTGCGTCTGTGGGGACTGACTCACTGCTGGAGCCTCTGCTGGACATTGGAGGAACTGCAGTTTTCTGAGTCTGAGGCTCTGTGGGGAGTAAATGCCGCCATGGGCTCAGCCTCCAGGTTCAGTCGACTGAAGAGTGTCGCCTGCGTTTATGGAAACTTTAATGTGGCAAAATCTGCAGAGCTGCTGGCATCGTGCAAACAGTAGTAACCACAACTGCAAAGAAAATCTGCAAAAAGGCTTCCCACCACACTGTTTGATGTAGCTTCACGACACTTTGGGTGTCTTCAAACAGTCTGAACCCCAAAGACAAGTGGAAACTGTAAATGTGGAGACAGCACTGTCGGCTCAGCAGAGATGCTCTCCATTTGCGTACAACGGGATTTTCCACCTATGCAAACGTTCTCCTGCACTGTCCTCTAAACACCCAGCAGCTCAGCTGTGCGTAGGTCGAATGCTGATTGGTTTATAACCTCACCGATACAGAGAAGAGTGACAGCAGAGGTCACAGGGAACAGAAGACGCACGAAAGAAAACACACACACGAAGTGTCCAGACAGCGGCTGCAGCGGACACTTTGTCTTTAACACCATTTCACTTCAGCTGTTTGTTTGTTAGAACTTTATTGTTCTGCACAGCCGGCTGACGAGTGGCCCAAAGACCAGTCGCACCACATAGTTTGGACGCTGCCTCCATCGAGCACAGACGCTCGCTGCAGGCTGACGGGACGTCAGTAGCTCTCCAAATGAATTTGACATTTCAACAGTGTGAATACCTGGTGCATGCAACCACAACAAACCAAACCCTGGGTGTAGGCAGGAGGGTTGGAGTTTTACAATCAGTGCGTCCCCGTCACATCCATCCAACTATCATTTGTGTTTACACCCTTTTAAAAAACAACAACAATGGATGAAATGCAGTGATAATGATGGACAATGATAACCACACCCCAGCTTTGTTTCTCTCCTTATAAACGCATTTGTTTTAAAAATACAGACAGCTACATGATCTTAACTGCTTTGACATCTGATTTTAATATTTCATTTTTTTAAACCTACACTTTAATCCCACTTTGAATTTTCTGGCTCTGGTTACAAACTACCTCTGAATACAGTTTAGAAGGAGCTTAGTGTGTGCACTCAAACATCATGTATGGCAGTTTACATACAGTCTACTCCATTACCAATCAAATACAGGAATACATTTAAAACAAGAAAAGAAAAATAAATAATCAAAAACAAATCAACTACTTGAAATGATTCAATAGATAACATACATTTAAAAGAATTTGAAACAATGATATCTATCCTAGGATCATTCAAATAACAAACTTAAAACTTTATTCAAAAAATATTAAAGATAATAAAGAAACGAACGTAACACCCATCGTGACTTTTTCATGTACTTTGTATTAATGCCGGAGTAATACTACTGTAATAGTGTTATAATGTAATTTGAGTGCAGTACTTCGGTTTAGTTCCGGACTTTCACTGCAGCAATACTCTGTTTCCAGGACTTTTACTTGTTACCGAGGCTCTTTACGGTGTTTCTCCTGAATTAAAGCCTCTGAACATTCACACCTCCGAACCAGACCGGCGACAGTTTAATGTTTGGATGCTTTAAGCTTTAATTATCGCCCGAAGTTTGCTAACAGCTAATTAGCTTCCTGTTTTACCGCTCCGTGTCAGGCTAACTGAATTAGCTTCTGTCGGTGAGTCAAACATGGCTGTCAGCGGGACATCAAAGCCGTTTAATCCGCTTATTAAAGCAGTCGTTAGCCTCTTTTATCGCCCGCTCACACCGACGTTGGCCGGCGACGTCAACCCACGGCACTCACCGAGCTCCGGACCAACACCATGTCGCTGGCCTCCGTCGCAGTTTTCTCCCGCATCATCTCACATCTTGCTGAGAAGATTTTCACTCCCGGTTCGCGCTGTGGGACATCCTCCCGAGGTGTCTCCGTCTCTTCCAGAATGCCCCGCCGCGTGAGATTAAGATGTGTCCCTGCTGAGCTATCATGGACCCAGCCCCGGAGCTCTTCGTGGTAGCGGTAACTGTGAGCAGGAGACTCGGCTTTCGTTTTCGCCGAATTCCTCCGCTCTGACCTGCTCGCTGGCTGCTTGTGGCTCTATTTTATCACCGGAATACACCGCGTGCGCACAGCCGAATTCTCTATTAACAAGTGGGACAAGCACCGCCCCGCGGCGCTGTGTAGGTTATTTAAAACAAAACGCACATCCATCTGCCAAAAGAATCTGTTTCCAGATCAGATTTCCTCCTGCTCAGGGCGTCTGTTACATATGCAAAAGCTGAAACATCGGACTCTGGATCAGTGAGACTTACGCTTAAAAAGCGCGCCCCCTGCCGGACCCGATATTACCGCACAGTGCAGTTTTGTTAATACTTATTAAGAGTGATGGCGTCGTTTTTTCAGCGAAAATCCTCATTTATAAAACATGGCAGACTAAAAACTTCTTAGTTAAGCGCTTTTGTTGTCTGTGAGGAAACTGGTCAGCGCAGAGGCTCAGTATTTGGCAGGAAGCGAACGGGGATGCGAACAATACAATGGATCACTTTTTAGCAAGCGGGGGAAAGGCGGGACTCAGCTGTGGAAGATTTTCTTTTTTGGCGTCAGCGCGAACACGCACGGGCACAAACGTCAAGGCAGCCCGCGTGACCAACTGCACTTCTGGTGATGGTTTTTCAAAATAAAGGCCTGACTGGCTGTGACTGTAAATTTATGGTACACAGTTATTTAAAAATTTTAAACAAAACTGTTAGTTAAAATAACAGCGCTATCTATGTTTTCGTTTTGTTAATGTTTGTTTTTTTAAATCATAGCTTCTTCAACATAAAATAAGTCTTGTTGTGTCTACAATAATAATATCTACATGGATAATCTTTGCGGGTTGAAAGTCGCCACTCTTTGTGTGTGTGTTTCCTTTGCTTGTTTTAATTGTTTCATTAACCTATAAAAACACATAAGTATCCTGTAATCACAGTCAGGTCGTTAGGAATTATAAGTAACTTGCTGGCAATCCTTCTACTGAGAATTTACTGTATTTTTTTTAGCAGTCTTTCACTGGACTGACCGTAACATCTGTAAGAAAGCACCGCTGTCCTGTAGAGACTTTTAACGATAACTTACTCATTTCCCTCAAAAATCTACAAATCAAAAACCATTAAATTATTCATTACCGTAAATCATTTTAATCATTCCTTGTTTAACAGAAATATGATCTATAATTATTTTTGCTCTGTGCTCAATATTCAAAACTGTGAAAACATATTCTCTTTTACCACAATGAGCTGCAGCGAGGTCTGTAGGAAACTGAATGCTTAAAGCCAAAAGAGTCAAACAGTGAGGACAGTTTAGACTGGGTCCTTCTTTGACTGAGTACTGATAAACCTATAAATGACATTCTGAATTTATCAGGCTTCAGGCAAAAAAAGCTCCAAAACACGATCATGTGTCGTTTTACAGTGCAGCTGTCTCTCTTCATACTCTCCTGAAAAAGAGAACTTAATATCAATGAGATTGCCTGTTTACATAAAGGATTTCATTTCATAAGAAGAATAATAGAAAAGATCAGAGTTATTAAACCCAGTCTGACAATTAGTGATACACACTTTCAATGTGCAATTTCAATAAGCCTATAGGCCAGGGTTTTCCACTTTCTGCTTTCTGCTGATGATCTTGTACTGTGTCATTATTTGTCATATTAAAATGTTGATAGTCCAGTATTTTAACATGTCATATTCTGACCTGTGTGTTTATTATAATATCTTTGAGTTTGGCATTTCTGTTGCTACACGAGCCTTAAAGTTTTATGTGGACTTTTTTATCTCCCAGTCACCACTGAAGTTAAAAAGTGTTTCAGATTAAAAGCAGGAGACCCGATTGCCTGTTTTCAGTGCTGAAGAGCTTACTCTCCCACAGGCTTCTGTAGAATCACTTGCCACGGGTCGCCCCCTTGTGGAAGTTTGAAAGTTCAATTCCATTTTATTTATATAGTGCCAAATCACAACAACAGTAGCCTTGAGGGGGCGACCCAGGGTAAGTGATGGGAGAGTAAGCTCTTCAGCACTGAAAACAGCCAATCAGGTCACCTGCTTTTAATCTGAAATACTTTTGCACTTTAGTGGTGACTGGGAGATAAAAAAAAAAAAGTCCACATAACACTTGAAGGAAAGCATTTCCTTCATTTCATCTTTTACTTTGGTGGCAATATGTAGAGCCGGCGCTCTTATTTTGAAGGGGCGCGCCGCCTCTTTCCCGCCCTCCCTCCATCTTGGCGCAGCTAGCTTGACGCAGCGGAGCACCAAAGGGAGGCTGAGCGGATCAATTTGGAGCCTCGGCGGCTGATCGGGATTATGCGGCGCTTCTGATCTCTGTGTCGGTAAGAACGTGCGACCCTCACGCGCCGCCGGTGACCGAGCCGTGCGTGCGCCGCTGTTTGTGTGCAGAGCCGCGCGCTCAGCGGCCGTTTTCTCCGCAGCAGACCTCCCTTCTCCTTTGTTCGCCTGCGCCTGCTCTCGCACCGCTGCGGGTTTTCTCGGTACTGGCGCAACATGGCCGCCGCGCGTGCGGGAGAACGAGCCAATTAGCTGCGCGCATATTTTGATATTTAGCGTGAGGATGCAGCTCGATGAGGAGGAGGAGGGGGGCGGGTAAAAGTGTGACCTCTGCGTGGTCATCTTCATCACCACCATCATCAGCAGCAGCAGGACTAGCTCCTCCAGCCTTCAGGTGCGGAGGGAGCAGCTCTAAGAACCGCTGTGTGCGGGTTTGAAGCCACAACAGTGAGTCGGTCCGGTGTCAGCAGGCCGTCCTCACCTGCCACACAGTCCGGAGGCAAACACCTGAGGTCGGTCCCCCGGTCAACCCCCCTCTCCCCGTGGAGTAAAGGTGTAATCATAATAACCAAAGTATTTTTTATGGCAGAGCTAAAAAAAAAAAAAATGTCAGCAAACTAAAGTTTTAGGTGTTTCCAAGTGGCCGGAGGGCGGAGGTTATCCACTGTGGGGAGGATACTACTCGCGAGCTTAGTGACACTTCACACGTAGGTGTTTTGCTGTTGTTTACTTTATTTTCTCTCATCTGCACACCTTCTGTTTGCTTGGTTTTTTAAAACAATCAAATTAATTTTTCGTAATTTTGTGCTCCAAAATTGGGAGATGTCGGCCCTCTCGCACTAAATTTAAGTCCAATTGCCTCTTTTTAGTTTCTAGTGTCCCTGAACTTCTGTAGTTGTCAGACTTGTTGTTGTTTCTCTGTGACAAATCTGAACCACGATTAGAAAACCTTCCAATAATCGTTTCAAACGGAGTTTACTTGATGCTGATCGTCTTACAGGCATCTGTAGAGCAGGAATTCCCTCAGATATGGACTGCTGTTTGTCAGGTTAAATCCAGACAAGTTCCCCACACTCACTGTCACAATAGGAGCAGAGCCAAAGTGCGTTACGTCCCATGATGTTTCATTCTGGACTGGAATGTGAGCGTGATGACAGTGGAGATGGAAAAATGTATAAACGTTAGATAAAAGTCAAGAAGGCAGCACATTTAAATGGTAAAATGGTAAATGGCCTGTATTTATATAGCGCTTTTCTAGTCCCTAAGGACCCCAAAGCGCTTTACACAACCTGTCATCCACCCATTCACACACTGGTGATGGCAAGCTACAATGTAGCCACAGCCACCCTGGGGCGCACTGACAGAGGCGAGGCTGCCGGACACTGGCGCCACCGGGCCCTCTGACCACCACCAGTAGGCAACGGGTGAAGTGTCTTGCCCAAGGACACAACGACCAAGACTGTCCAAGCCGGGGCTCGAACCGGCAACCTTCCGATTACAAGGCGAACTCCCAACTCTTGAGCCACGATCGCCCCATTTAATGAAAGTAGGAGTGGTCCCAGCGTGGAGCCTTGGGGGATGCCACACTCCACAGGGCGGACAAAACTGAGAAGTTTCCTGCTTTGAAGGGGCAAATGAGCAGTGATCAACCATCACGGAACAAAAGCCACGACTTAAACGACATGAGCTGGAAACACTTGTAACAAACAACACAGTGGATCCACAACGCTGTGAAAAACTCTTAGATTTAAAAACAAAGTCAGTATTTTAAAGCAAAACCTCTTTTTTTCCTTTTAACCTGCGGATCGTTCCAGATGCACCGAGGACACAGGGTCAGACTTCATGACCTTTGAACGGGTCGCCGCGGTTCTCCATGTATGTTGCTCACCATTCTAGTAAATCTGAAGGACACACTTTGGTCTTAATGATTTCTGCAAAAGTAACTCAATGGTTAAATTATAGGGAAAAGTTTTAGCCGTTATATTTTCATACAAAACTCAAACCGGATTCAAGCTAAGTTTAAACGGGTCACTGGTGGATTTTAACAGGTCGCTGAAAATAGAAGCCTGAGGAGGAAAGGCTGCAGTGTGAGGAAACAAAGGCTTATTTTGAGCTGTAAATCACGCAGAGCTACTGTGAGAGAGCAGAATAAGTCACCTTTACTAACGAACTCTTAATGTTACCAGATCTATTCAGAATATTGTCTGGAAATCAGATTTAATAAGTAAGTGTCTTATTTCTTCCTGACGTGCGCTTGTCTTTGAGCGCGGTGTGCCATTAAAGGATGTAGGTGAGCAGCTTTGGTGTCATTTCAGATGTTTACAAAGCAGATATTTGGGTTTGAAGTGCACATACGTGGATTCAGTTCAAGATTGTAGAAATATTTCATTACAAATTCATATTGAGTCCAGAGTTTGTTGATCAGATGATGATATTCTTGAATAAAGTATCAGGTTTTGTCAGTGTAGCGCTTACAGACGGGTTTGTTTGGGTCCCTGTTTGGATTCAGTGTGAGAAGGTTTCCCTGCAGATGCTCATTCACCTGTCTGGAGTTTAAAGGCTGCTTCTCAGAGTGACCCTCTATCCTCCTCTTCTGCTGCGAGTCTGCCGTTACGCGGTGATGTCACTGTGACCTGGCGGTTGGTGTCGCAGCAGCAGGTCTGTGGTTTCTGCTGCAGGTGCGGTGACAGCTGCAAACATCAGGAGCAGCTCGGTGCGAATCCTCCCGCCGCCGTTTGTGACCTGGTTAAAGCGTGGAGGGGATTTTCAGGCTCAGTCCTGTTTTCTGTTTGGTTACCAGAGGAAGGCATCTTTGTTCACACCGACTGTTCTACCTGCTGCAGTTCTGTTTTTACGTAGATCTGATCTTTCTAGAGAGGAAGTGACGAGGGTGACTGACTTCTCGTGGTCCTTGAGCTGATTTATCAGATGGTAGGAGGGCTGGTTAACGCTTCGCTTTCTTATTTGGCAGGAACTATATTATTATATATAATAATATGTATTAAAAGACTGTGTGGATATTCGTCTGCTTGGATTTGTTTTTCATGCACAGGTGTTATGTTTTTAATTTTTTAATGTGAATAATATCTACCATCTCACTGCATCGATGCCCAACAAAGAAGGATTATTTTGAACTTTGGATCATGCAAAACTGCTGTAGTAGAGTCCAAGAGCAAAAACGTGGCACTTTCATTAAAAACTACAAAATAATGATCAAACATCTATTAAATTAATAATCTGTGTGTCATTAAAAGATGGTGAGGTCCATATACTTGCACTGGTGCTGTCTTTGTTGTTTCAGCTCTTAACCACAACCTGAATTTCCTCAATTCCTGCAGATTTGCAGGAGTCGAATAAATGTGTGTTAGCTTCAGTTCAGTGCTGTATTTCTGGCCTAAAGCTGACAGATACAGCTGTGATCCAGAGTTATAGAACCATCCTGGTCCCGTACAGCTGGAGGAGGAAATAATCCATCTACAGCTCTGCTGTCACTCCCAACATAAATGAAGACAGGAAACTAAACAGCAGTGACGTTTGTAGGGTTACTGAAGTTGGGCTAGCTGCTATATAATGATGTGCTACGTGATCTCTAGCGACACACCTATGTTAGCATAAACACAGTGAAGCTGGAGGATGAACGCTAACACTTTTCCACTCGATAAAAGTTAACGTGAAGGTTCCTGATGGTTAGAGACAAATACAGTCGCATGGCAGGATGCTGTAAACGGACCAAACTTCAGTCAGGAGAACAACTGAGATAATCCATCCACAATACGAGGTTAGTCATTAATATACTGCTGCATGGGCTGGGCTGTAGCTACATCAGAAGGGCTTAAAAATTGCGTTTTAAAATGAATAGGGATGATAATTAAAACCAAGAGAGGCCGACAGGGATCACTGACTGTTTTTCGGGGATTGTTGACATCAAATAGAACGAGATACAAAACATTAAAACGTGTTAAAAACACAACAGCCTTAATAAACACAGAGCAGTTTGGGCCCAGAAGCAAAATTCATACATCATCACTTAAAGAGCGGATCAGGCTGTAAACATGTTTGTTTCTTTTGTTTTAACGTGTGAGTCTATGGGACTGACTCACTGCTCACTGAGTAACAAACAGCGGGTTGCAGCATTCCTGACCTTTGACCTCTGACCTTTAGAGCCTTTGACTGCCAACCAGTAATCAGATTAGTCACAAACTCTGCTTTAAATGTATCCAACGCTGGACGTTTTACCTTCAGCAGAGATTTAAAAGGAGACGCCTTCAGCTGCTGTGATTGGTCAGGATCCATAAAACATTAACGTCGCTGCATTCAGTCCGACCTGCGAGATTCATCAGGCTAATCAGTCCTTGCTGTTCACCACGAGTCGCTCTGCTGACCTTTTGACCTCCAGTCTAGCAACTGCTCTCATCCAATCAAACGTTGTTAAACTCGTGACTGATAAACTGAGTTTCCTGTTTGGAGTTTTTGTTGTTTAACTGTCAGGATGCATCGTTTAGACTTCCTGTTTCAGCCTTGTGTGCCATGTTTGTTTGTTTGTTTGTTTGTTTTCTCTTTTAAAACTTACACATTTTTATTTGGCTTTTCTTTAACAAAACAAGCTTTTTAAACTTTACGTAGTGGTTGTATTAAAACGTCTATATTAAATTCATCACTCTGATGTAAAACGTTGGCGTTTACGTGTCCGTGTCTCCGTCTTTTCCTCCTCAGATTGAACGCATCGTTCCCGTATAGGTTCTGGCAGCTGTGACGTCACTTCCAGGCGTTAGTCTGTACCCAGCCTGAATGCAGCCTCTCCAGGGTCCAGCCTAATTCCTGGTGCTCCTTCACTCCCGCCTCCTCCCTCCTCTCCCCACCCTTTCCCCCTTCCTGCCCCACCCCTCCTTTCCTCCATCCTCATCCTCCACCCTCCACATCAGCCTCGTCTTAACACAAACTCCCAGCATTTAGCCCGGACTGCTGGTGTGGTTGGCTGCTCCTCTACAGGTGGATGAATGAAGACCCCCTTCAAGAGCCCAACGGCGCCGCGGCCCCGAGCGGACGGAGGTGAGTTACATGAGCGAGGCGCTCCACCCATGTCCGTGACACGCTGCCGACTGGTCATCAGACTGATGTGTTTGTGTGTTTCAGGACATTCGGGCGTCTCTGCAAACATGATGAAGAAAAAGAATCCGCACAAGTAAAACAGTTTTTTTTTCATTTGTACAATAAAGTTTTTAATTAAAAGACACAACAAATGAATGAAAAGTCACCAGCTCGCACCGGTGTCACACCATCTTCTCCTCCTCACCCTTCATCGTGTCTGAACCGCCTCCCTGCAGGAAGCAGAGGACCAGCGTGGGTCCCAGCAAGACCCTGACTCAGCCCAGAAGGAACATCGTGGGCTGCAGGATCCAGCACATCTGGAAGGAGGGCAGTAAGTCGGCTCCATGTGATTCTCCTCTGTCTCATTTTCCTTTTGATGCTTCATATTTGATTAGTTTGGCGAGTTAAACATTAACATGTCCCTCAGTGGATCAAATGATGGTTTATAGAAACGCAGAAAGTTAAGCATCGTGTGAGAACGAGTCACCTGTGCTGGTGTTTACGTGTCTGCTTCCTCTCAGGTAAGTCGTCGCAGTGGAAGGGGACGGTCCTGGACCAGGTGCCCGTTAACCCCTCCCTCTACCTGATCAAATACGACGGCTTCGACTGCATCTACGGCCTGGAGCTGTACACCGACGAGCGGGTGGTGGGGCTGGAGGTTCTGCCCGACAGAGTGGGTGAGGAGCCACCCGTCATGGCCGCCGCGTTTGGCTCGTGGCGGAAATAAGCTGTCAGCCGCAGCGACACACGGCCAGACGAGTTTTAACGTGTGACTGTCACAAACTTTATGGACATCGAGGTCCGCAGCAGCGGCTGCTGATTGGCTCATTGTGTCAGACGTTTTCTGTTGTATTGCTGCAGATTAAGCCGAATACTCGAGTAAATGCACGTAGTTACTGCTGTTACTTTATTTAACATCCTGCCCGGCGTCCCAATGATGTAACCGCACCTCTCCGTGTGTCTCTCTGTCCCGCGATTGGTCCAGCTCCGGCCCGTGTGACCGACTCACTGCTGGCAGACACGATGATCGGTAAGGCGGTGGAGCACATGTTCGAGACGGAGGACGGGCCGAAGGAGGAGTGGAGGGGGATGGTGCTGGCCCGCGCTCCCATCATGACCTCCTGGTTCTACATCACCTACGAGAAGGACCCGGTGCTCTACATGTACCAGCTGCTGGACGACTACAAGGAGGGCGACCTGCGCATCATGCCCGACTCCAGTGAGTGTGAGCGCACTGGGCGGCGTCACAGCTCGCCACGTTTTTCTCTGTTTCAGTAAAAAGTGAAGCAGGAAACTGAGCGCTGAAGCAGCGAGTTGTTGGCATCAAAGAACCAACGTGTTCATGAGTGGGAGCGCTGCCAGTGCTCGCAGGCTCAGCTTCCTTCCTGTGTGTGTGAGAGTAATCCACATGTGGGCCTTTATCGGCTTCTGTGCCATCCAGACGCTTGCTGCTTCCACGCTGGCTGATGTGGGTTCCTTTCAAGGTTTCACTCAAACAAGCTCAGCGCTGCTTTGGTTTTCTGTTTCATGAGGCAGAGTACTCGAGTAAATATTACTGCTGGTGCTTCCTGATTATCAAACACCTGCTGCTTTGGTGTGTTTAATACTCTATCAGTCGCCTCGTGATCAAATTCTGCAAAGACAATAAATAAAGTTGACCTTTTCTCTGTGTTCGTGTCTGCAGACGACAGCGTGACGGCGGAGCGAGAGCCCGGCGAGGTGGTCGACAGTCTGGTGGGCAAACAGGTCGAGTATGCCAAAGAGGACGGCGGGAAGAGGTCGGGAATGGTGATCCACCAGGTGGAGGCCAAACCCTCCGTCTACTTCATCAAATTCGACGACGACTTCCACATCTACGTCTACGACCTGGTCAAGACCTCCTAAGACCAGAAACCCTGTTTAAAAAAGACTTGCTGAGAACCACCAACCCCCCCAGAAACCCTCTGCCCAGTGCAGACCAGTCAGCTCTGTACTCTCTTTGGTGAAATGCCTTAAAACAGGACAAAAATCCAGACAGCGCCCTTCAGACCAGCTCCAGTCGTCCATCGCTCATCGTTCCACTTTCACAAAATCGGTTTTTGAATAAATAAAATCTGCTTCACCCAGAGGTGTAGAGAGGACTCGATCCTGAGACCCCCACAGAGAGAACGCAAGGTTTTCTGAATAAGTACTCCCTTCCCTGAACCCCGTCGGACCCTCTGCGACCTCCGTTATCTGACGAAGAGGGGGGCGAGCAGCTCTGCGGGGGTCGATGAAGGGACGGGACTTCAGGAGCCGCATTCTCGACGACGTCTATCTGCAAACCAACACTGAGAGATGCAGCGGGGAAACAGACTTTGGGTTCATCACTTGTCTCTTTCTTGTTGCTGTTTGTGTCCCACAATCATTTTATGTTTCACATCAAACATCTTCAGTGTTTGTTTTCCCAAATTCAGCATCCAGGAAACAGCAAAGTGTGAATGAAGACACCATACTGTTGTTTTCTGAGCATGTTTTCCATCATTGCAGCTGTTATTTGGGTTCACATCTGTCGTCTCCGTCATAAAAACAGCTGTCCTGGTTGGCTCCAAAGCTGATGTCGGATCTTAAACACAAAATAGTTTTTTTATAAAGGTGTGCTCCCCTTCCTCCTGCTGCTGCTGTAGAGTTTACATGGTTTGTGTCATACCTTTTCTCTGTATTGACACCTTTATGTTTTTATCTGTTGTGTATACTTTTTATTACCCACTTAGCTTGTAGGACGCTTGCGGCTGTTGCAGGTGTGTACAATAATGTTTCTATAACTGACGGATTTCACTTTGCTCACTGACTCTGGATTTGGGCGCTCGTCCCCGGGTTCACGGCTCGCTGTAAAACAGCATAAACTCTTAGCTGATGTAGCTCCGCCCATCACAGTAGGTGGTCTTTTTTTTTTTTTTTTTTCTTGCACCAAACAGCTGACGCATAAACAGCCATGTTGCCTGAACCACATCTCGTGTGCCTGATTAAAAGATCTCAAACTATATGTTTAAAAATCCAACATAATTTCCTTTGTAGTTGCCAAACAGTTCATTCTGGTTCTGGATCCAAACGGATTTCAGTCCAGAACATTCCTGTTAGACGACACGTCCCAGGTGAAATACGTTTTGGTTTACAGCGGAGTCTCATCAGCGCGGTTTTTTTCCCCCTTTTTCCAGCGCGAGGAAACGGTTTAAAGTTCTCATCCTGGACTCTGCATTCCCAAGCTCTAGAACAAGTCTTCGTCCTCTAGAACTAAAATACCCAAGTTTAACATCTCACCGCGTTCGTTTGCCGTTTAGGTTCAAGGTTTTCTGTTAGATTTCCCACAAGTTCTACAACACTGAGGCAAACATTGTAGACAGTCTTGAGAACCCCAGCTTCCCTGATTCTGGGCCAAATCTGGATTAGAAATCTTAACATCCTCTCAGATTTGGACCTTAACCTGCTCTTCTGGACCCTGTTTGTCTGTTTCCGTCAACATATATAACAGACATTTTTATTGTCATTATTATTTTATTGTTTTTGTTTTTTTTAATTATTCAAGAATCTGTTTTATGTTGTCCCAACGTCTGTCCTCTTGGTCGCAGAACCAACTGTCCTAAACTGCCCAGCTATACATCCTAGAACATGAAGGTCGAAATATTCTAGAAAATCAAACATGTTCAGCTTCTGAGGTTTTTGTGGGATAATTGTTTTTTATATTCTAGACTTTTGTTTTGTTCTAGAGTCTGTTTTTCAGTATTGTTTCCCATGAAAGTCTCCGATTCAAGAATGTATCTGGTTTGGAAAGATGATTATGACTTCCAGAGTTGACAAAATATCTTTCAGCAGTTCAGCTAATGTTCGGGGCTCTGTGGTTTTACATCAAACTATGTGCTGCTCTGGATGACTCTGGTTCTGGAGGATATTTGATTGATTGAACAAAAACGTTTTTTCAAGTGTTGGAAAAAGTCAGTTTTTTTCTTAGACATCATATGATGGAACATTTATTTCTTCAGTATTTCATTTGTTCCTCTGTCCCCCCCCCCACACACACACACACACTCTTCATCCTGTCTGTGTTGGTTCTGGACGGTCAGATTCTAGAATCGTTTAACTGTGGAACCTTTTTCAGGTTTGATCTCAAACAGCGCTGGAATATTTTACGGAGTCTAGAACAAATCTTAAATCCTTTTTACAGTTTATTCTAGAATCTGTTTCCAGAATTGCACTAAAATAGATTTTATGTGTATTTTCATTCAAAGAAGAATGCTTGTAGAGTCTTTGGTTGAAATTGTGTTGAATCCTTCTTTACTTGAGACTCTGGAACCTTCTACAACATCAGGCCCAGGCTGCTGTAGAATCAGTGGAAGCCACATGGAGGCGTGTCGACAGTTTCCTTACTAATTCGAGAGCGTACGTGCAGAAAATGGAGCCTGCACATTTGAAGCTCTTTGAGAGCTGCGGTTTGATTCTGTGCGATGCGAGGAAAACGTTGAAGCTGTTTTTGGTCTTTTTGTTTTCAGATTCTAGAAAACATTTGTCTCTGATTGGAGTCACTTCTCTCTAGAGCTGTTCTGGTTTACGTGTGAGTTCTGATTGAAGGCTTGTTGAGGTTCTGTTTTCAGAATCTGATCCCACACGATTCTAGAATCTGTACTTTAATATCCCGTCAGAATGCACATGATGAAAATGCCGTTGAAGGATTCCCACCTTATGTTGTTTTTCCTTAGGCTCTAGAAGCCGTGTCCTCATCCTGTCACTAATGTCAGAGTCTAGAGCTCTTTGTCGGTTTGTCTCAGATTGAAATCATCTGTTGTTTTTCTAAACTCTTCAGATTTGATTTGATTATTTTGTATTTTTATTTTATCGGCTGGAGGACGCAGGAACCTGAACACGTTCTGGATGGTGGATTCATACACGTGCACGTATGTCTGCTCACTGTGGCGTGAGCTCCGGCACATTTCACACAGGCTTAATTCCAGAATCTGTTCATCCCATCCACGGCTGCTCTAGAGTCACCGTGACGTTGTTAGGCGTGTTACTTGGCTTCACTACAGTTTACTACAGTTACGAATCACAGGATGTGCTGAGAGACTCCGGGGTGGGGGTCGGGCTTGGGGGGTGATGTGAATGCCGAGCCTCCCTGATGTGGAGTGGTGCGTTCAGGAGACATTTGTACTTTCCAGGAAACCTTTGATGTGTAGCGTGTGTGTGTGTGTGTGTGTGTGTGTGTGTGTGTGTGTGTGTGTGTGTGTGTGTGTGTGTGTGTGTGTTCAGAGCAGTGTTGTTTTTGCATGCATATATTAGCTCTGTGTAAATCGATGTGAGTTGCATGTCCGTGTAGTTTTCAGTTGTCCGGCTGTCTGTTGTGGCTTTCGGTGCCTTTTTGTTTCTTCTTCTTTTACTTGTCCCCCGTGTCCCTGATGACATTTGTTGTCGGGTTAATGGTCCAAAAAAAGAAAGGGGAAAAGCATTAAACAGGATCCTGGACCAGCAGGGCACGCAGCCGTTACGAGTCCAGCAGCAGAGCTTGTACAGACGTCGCAGCGGCGGTAATGTGTGTGAACTCTGTTTTGGTTTTGTTCAGTTTTTGGGTGGATCGTCCCTTTAAAGTGTGCCAACCTACAGATGCCAGTGTTGTACAGCAGTGAAAAGCTCACTATTTACTAAAATAAACTGTTTCTCTGTTTTTGCACTCGGACTCGCTCGTTCTTTCTGCCTCCGACACTTCGTTCTGTACAAACTGTGACACACTGATCCTCAGAGAGAGCAGAAACCAGATTTTGGCTTTAGACTGGGACTGGGTGTAAAATGGATTTGGGTTCACTTTTTAACACAGACAGTGGATCTTTGCTGAACTTGTGTAGTTACCAAAGTAGAAGTGGATCATTATCTTAAAGCGATAATGTTCCAAAACACAAGTCCACCTGTGATTGGCTCAGAAAACACAAAGTTTTTGTAGTCGGAGTCTGTTTATGAGGTTTATTAAGTATTAAATATTTAGAGTCGTTTGAACATTGCTCTCACTTTAATTGTAACGAAGTGTTTTGAGAGGATAGTCGTGTCCCATATCAAAGAATCCATCCCGGACACATTCGACTCTGCAGGTTTGCATATCGGAAGAATCGTTCTACCGAGGACGCCGTTAATGCAGCGTTCCACACAGCCCTCTCACGCCTCGAATATAAGGACACCTATGTTCGAATGCTGTTTATAGACTACAGCTCAGCATTCAACACCGTCAGCCCAAACAGACTGGTGGAAAAGCACCTCACAGGCAGGCTTCAGGCAGTCAGAGTTGGTATCTCACGTACAAAGATAGTGAGCCCAGGGACCCCCCAAGGCTGTGTGCTCAGTCCACCCCTGTACACCCTCTTCACCTATGACTGCATCCCCTCCCAGAGCAACACCTCCATCATTAAGTTTGCTGACAACACAACCATTGTTAGGCTGATAGCTGTTGGAGAGGAGACGGCCTGCAGTGAAGAGGTGGCTCAGCTGGTGACCTGGTGCCTGGAAAATCTGTCCTTAAATGTTTAGAAGACTAAGGAGGTGATTGTTGACCCGAGGATGAGGAGAGACCAGCTCGCCCCACTATGTATTATTAACCCCGATTCTTTTGTCCCCATGATAGAACAGAGAAAACCGACTCATAGTGTGTTAAAACATTTATATTTCTTTTATTCAATCATCTTCTGGAAGAGAGAGACCCCTGCACAGCCCAAAACGCCAGTTGCAGGATCTCTAACATTTGACGCTCAACATGTGTCTTATATGGTGTTATTTCTGTACTTCAGACGTCACACACAGTTTCATTACAAACAAACTCCTTCTACTCAGTTCTTATTTTCTGTGTCTGATTTATTAATATGCCTGTGCACTAAAACTTCCTGTGCAGGGGGCGAAGACCTTCAAATTCCTCTGCACCCACATCAGTGAGGATCTCACCTGGACCCATAACCACGGCAGATCATCAAGAAGGCTCAACAACGACTCTTCTTCCTGAGGAAGCTGAGAAAATTAGGATTAACCTCCAAACATCTCAGCAATGTTTACAGATGAACAGTTGAGAGTATCCTGACAAACTCCATCAGTGTGGTACGAGAACAGCACCACTCAGGATAGGGACGCACCCACCCACAGCACACACTGTTCACACTCCTGCCATCTGGCAGACGCTACAGGAGTGTGAAAGTAAGGACAACCCACAGGCCATCAGGCTACTGAATCCCTGACTAACTGTCGAACTGTGATTGTCTATCAATAACCTGACCTGTAAATTTGCAACTGTGAACGTTTATATACAATATAACACAACTTCATACAACATAAACAATTTTAAAATTTGCACATTCTGAATATCTTAACACTGTGTTGCATAACTACTTGCACTTTCAAATTTTAACTACACCCTACCTTTGTGTACATAAACACATAAGTACTACATTTATTCTTTATATTAGTTACTTGTTTATTTAGTTGTTTGAAGGGAACTCGCAAAGTAACAATTTGATTGCTCAGCGTAACCATTTGTGTTTTGCGGTGTGTATATGACATTAAACTTCTTCAGTCTTGTGTTTTTATGTTGCAGCTCCCCTCCAGAGCGCTGGGGTCGCTGCAGAGCTGATTTGAACCGCGGTCTTTCCCAGAATGCATCGCTCCCGTCAGACCAGAAACCCGTGCTGCTCTCACGTTTTCTCGCTCAGAAACATTAAAACCTTTTGCGTGCCGCGCTGTCGGAGTTTGCGCAGTGAGCTGATGAAGTCAAGAGAAACACTCACGTGAAGAAGAGCACCGTCAGTCAGAGCGCTCGAGCCGCTCCATAAAGCCTCAGAGCGCGTGTGCTGTATTATGATCCTTCTTGTTCAAGAAGTATGATGATTGGTGCGTTCACGGACCATCCGTGTAAGGTGCAGCCTTCTTGTTACGCATGCGCCTCAGCCCGTCTGACCTTGACAAGAAGCATTTATAAGATACGGATCATTAGTCAATGTTTCATATTATCGCTGATCAGGATGTTCCTGCAGTGATGTTCTACTCTACACAGTTCTATCTCAGATTCTGTACTTGTACATGTTTGTAGTAATAGTGTAGTTTTTTAGTGGTGACACTTTCTTTAGTTGTAAACATGCTTTTTACTGTCGGTGCTGTCGTTTTGTTTTGTCTCAGTTATTTAATGATAAATACACATAAACAGAATCCCAGTCAATGTTTTTGAATGACAGGGATGCCACAGACTCGGAGTGGGTGGTGGGTTAGGTGTCACGTCCCAGTCTGGTGGTCTTTACTTACAAACACCTGTACAGGCTACACAACAACTCTTTAAACCACAATCATGTGAACCTGAATGCACCACAGAGCAAAAACATCTGCTTTAGGGTTCACAGAGAAACGGGAGTCATTTTGTTTGAGTGCAGAAGTGGGTCAGTGAACTCAGCACACAGCAGGCCAGCTGACTCCCCAGAGTCTGACTGCACTGACCCATCAACCCAGCGACCTCCACCTAAATGTTGAAGTCAAGCTGAGCTCCGCCAGTAACGTCTCGGTGATGTGTTTAAGTGTTTCCTGTCATGAGTGGAACTTCTAGTTGTGGTTGTACGGGAGATGGGAGGTGTAGATGAAGTTCTCCACCTGGCCGGGTGCATGCTGATGGAGGCTTCTCTGTTTCCAGTGCTTTTCGCTTTTAATCTCTATTCAATCATCTTTATTCAGCAGCAGCCCAATCACGCCGTTTTACACGAATGCATGCGCTAAGTAATAATAACATCTACAACACACGTTACATCTCGAAGTCTCGCGATGTTTCTTCCGGGTGACGTCACTCCGGATGAGATTTCTGTCCAAACACAGATGGTGTCGCCCTGATCGTCCATGTGGTTCCAGGTCTGCTGAAAAAGTCTCACGCCGTGATCGGAACTTATTTAATTTTATTATATCCGACGAGCCGACCCGCTCTGAGAGGACCCGGAAATGCAGCACGACGACGTAAGTGTCACAAGCTCTTTTACAGCCGCCGAGAAGCGCTGTTAGCTCTGCGTGCTAACGCTAGCTGGCCGGTGAGAGCTCCGGAGTTTAAAGGAACCATGAGCTGAACCGTACTCATTTATCCGGAGATAAAATACGCGTTTCAACACATCACCAGGCTAAATGCTAGCCGGCTCTTCCGGTCACGCCAAATTCCATTAAATAAAATCAGTTTTACCGTTTTTTAGTTTTCCAGCAAACACTCCGATCAATACATCATGAAGCGGAGTCAGTCACAGACCTGCGTGGACCTCACTTCGGCCACAGTTACCCATCATTCTTTTCTCCGTGTGTCGTAAAGATCATCAGGCTCCACATGAAGGAAAAAGACGAACTGTAGTCAGACTTAACAAAAGCTCAGCACGCAACACATCCTTAAATAGATTCACGTAAGCAGAAAAGTGCTAAAATAAATTCACACGATAGTAAGTCTAATGGTGAAGTCTCTCAAAGTTCAGTGACGAATAATTAAATAAAATCATAAAAAGAAACTGAGGCAGCAGTAATGTGCATCAGTGTGTGATCCGCCCCCTGCAGGTGATCTGGGACATCATTGGAAACACGCAGTTCTGCTCCTTCAAAGTGAAGTAAGTCACGCTCGGCTTGGATTTATCGACTCGTGTCATTGACGAGCTCTGAGCCGTGTCACGTCTTTGTTTCTCTGTCCAGGACCAAGAGTCAGAACTTCTGCCGGAATGAGTACAACATCACGGGCCTGTGTAACCGCGCGTCCTGCCCGCTCGCCAACAGCCAGTACGCCACCATCAGGGAGGAGAAAGGTGAGTCCTCGCTCGCTCTCATCAGCTTTACCGGCAGATCTCAGGTCAGCAGGTCTTGGGAGTAACGCGAGGAACGTTTGTGTTTCAGGTCAGTGCTTCCTCTACATGAAGGTCATCGAGAGGGCGGCTTTTCCTGCCAGGATGTGGGAGAAGGTGAGCGGCTAAAGTGGGATTATGTCACTCGTCGTGGTGGATCACCAGACACGGAGACGTCACGTCTCCTGACGATGGCCCGACGTCCTCGACACGGTTTAAAGAATCTGGTGTAAAAGAAGCTAACTTCAGTTTACAAGATTTTAACTCACGCCTCAAACTGTGTGCGTGTGTGCGTGTGTGTGCGTGTGTGTGTGTGTGTGTGTGCGCGCGCGCAGGTGAAGCTCAGTAAGAACTATGAGAAGGCTCTGGAACAGATAGATGAGAACTTGATCTACTGGCCTCGATTCATCCGACACAAATGCAAACAGAGGTTCACTAAAATCACCCAGTACCTGATCCGCATGCGCAAACTGGTCCTCAAAAGGCAGTGAGTACTCAGACCGTACTGCAGTACACAAAGTACAGCGAGTACTGCGAGTAGGAAGCTGGTGTGTCGTCCCGCCGCGTTCATCCTGCTTGTCTGTGTGTTTCAGGAGGAAGCTGGTTCCTCTCAGCAGGAAGGTGGAGACCAGAGAGAGGAGGAAGGAGGTGAGACTTTTAACCACACCCAAAGGTGGCGCTTGACCACCTAACAGAGCTGCAATCAGACTACGAGAGGTCGTAGGTCACATTTTCCTTACAAATTAGGAGCCGAGTTTCGGTTTTCCACAGAGAGGGAACGTTCATGTTGAATAAAGTCCGGCTGGAATTCTTTCCTCGCTTTGAAGAGGAACAGGCGTCGAACTGATATTTAAGG